CATATGGCACATCAGCTCAGATCAGCACAGTCTCATTTTTTTGTTGTTGTTGTTGTTGTTGCTGCTGCTGCTGCTGCTGTTGCCTCTACACAAAGCCGAGGAAAAAGAGGACGAGTCCGGGAGCATGCCCGTGTCTTTTGCAGGGCTGAGCCCCCGGTGCCGATGTCACCAGGCGCTTGCTTTTGAGAGATCACTCAGTGTCCGCCAACACAATCGAGTGCAGGCCCGTTTAAATATTTTATTATTCCGTTACTGACTTCCAATTAAGGTTAAAAGAAAACTCCTTCTTCACTTGCATTTGTTTCCAGTTGGGTTCTGTTTAGTTTCTTTTCCAAATCAAGCTTTACTACCGGCAGATTTCACCAAAAGCAACCCTATGGATTCCCACCGAATACACATGTATATACATCACAAAGGAAACAGATGGTTGGGTGAGGATTTGATTTCATTCCTCCTAATGGCACAGGTTCTGTAGTGTGGCTGAACGCAGGGACCGAACCTGTACTGAAAATTGCCACTGAGGGTGGCCAGACTGTTTAAAGTGAAAGGGAAGCATGAAAGTAAAATGTCATTTTTCCAAACGCAGAACATACAGTGTGTAAAATGATATGAATGCTGGGAGTTTCCTTATGACAACAGAGGCACTTAAAAAAAAATGTTGGCCCAAGTCTTTTTTTTAGTCATACAACTAAAAGATTTAGCAACCACCTTGGAATACATGACTCGACTAATTTAAAAAAAAATCTCTACTTCTTATGCATCACTTAAAGTCGGAGAAACTTATTAGAAAAGGCAAAAAGGGCGTCACTAGTGAATTGTTAGATAATTGTTCACCTACATGGGCTTTTTTCAAAGAAACCAGTGCTGAAAAATTTAGGGGAAATCAACTGTAAATACCCCTCAATCTGTCAACTTTTTCGATTTTACCATTTTATGAAGTTTCAATTTCAAATGACCTAACTTATTATGAGCAATTTACTAATTGTCCAGACTAGTGAGAAGGAACCTGTGACAATGTTCCCTTAGCCTTCAGCAAAGAGTATGAACCTCTGGATGACCAACTTTATGTTTACTGGAACCAACACTTCAGCATTTTTGGTAATTACAGCTTTTATTTCATTCAAGCACCTTTCATTTAAGAGGAATGACTGTTCTGGCTGAGTATCATAAGCGACTAGAATACAATTCATAGCCAGTGTGATGTGAAAACTTTTCCACTTCTGTTCATGTAGTCTTTGTGCCTGCAAATCCTTAATTATCAAAGCAATCTTCAGCACCTGGCTAATTACACTATTAAGAATCAATTCAGTAATTAACTGGAAGGTTCAAAGTCCTGGAATAGTATAGAAAGTGCCAAGGTTAACCACCAGCGATTTCTAGATATTTATGCAAGATCCTTTACAGAACCCTTCCAGTGAATAAGATCCAACAGCTGTAAGGTTAAACAGCAGCATTCAATGTGTGATTCAAAGATTTCAGAAGCACCACTTTGATTAACATTCGCTCATTTATCTTAATGTAAAAATTATTGTCATTACCCAAAGAATTACATTACACAATCCGGTAAACATGGCCACTTTTTACACTATACAAATAGACCACAGTAGGACTGTTCACTCCTTATCCTTTAGTGTCCTTTAGTTCAACCACAATTCTTAATGACTTTACCTAAATTACTTGTCCACATAAGTGGTCTGTATACCACTGTTTCCAGGTCTTCGTTCATTGACAATTACAAGCTACATATCAAACCCTTCGGGGCCAGGAGAGAAAATCACTGGGCTATACAGACATCTTGGGTTGTTTGTAAAGACCAGTGGAAGGTGACGCCTAAAATATTATGTCAGTCTAATTATACTGTTGTTACAAGACACCCAAATAAGTCTTACAAACACATCCTACAAAAACATGTCGACTCTGGACACTTTTTAGCGGAGCATGTTTGTCACTCATGGCCCCGTGGTAATTGTACAGCTGTACGTTCAGAGCACAGCAGTTTCAGGTAGAAGAGGTGGAATTCAATCATGCACATAAAATAGTTTGAAAAGGACAAGACTATAAATCGGGTGGGGTCCATCTCTTGGTTTGGACTAATTAAATCAGCAGCAAGCGAAGACTGTGGAGAACTGAAAAGTTGCTCCGGCTCAACTTGAATAGGATGAATGTAATACTCTTCACAGATGACAGCCGTTTCTTACAGAAATAAAAAGAGAAAACCTGCTGCATTCTGGCTCTTGAAGACCAGAGCTGGGAACCTTTTCTACAATTGTAGGAGTTAAAATTAGTTCGTCTGGGCTCCTGGAATGCCGAACACCGATCATCCAGCGCTCCTGTGCAATTGCGCCTGGATATTATTTAGTTATTGTATATTTAACTTTTTTCATACATCAAAACTGGAAATGTCTTCTTTGCCCCGTATAATATTTAAACACTGAATGAAGGTGTGTTTTTTACAATTCTTTATCTAAATAACAGACGCTGTGCATGTATGTCTAAACACGTTAGTCTACGCTAGAATGGGGTGTCATTTCTCCTGGTTATGAGATACTGGGAGATCGGTCCAGTTCAAGCTTCAATCACCCAGACACCTTAAAAACGATGTCACACATGTTTGCAGTGGACAACAGCAGGGTCCAACATTGCACAAATTGGATTTGTTTCTCTTCATATGAAAAGATTTGACCTTCATTTCCTCGATTTAATACGGTAATTCCCCGCACTGACATCGCCTCTCTCTTTCAACTGACGAGCGCAAGACAGTTACAAAAAAAAAGCACTGTTTCCATTTCAAAAATACCCTGTTTCGTTTAAAAACGCGTATCAGACCATACGGCCGTTTGGGGGAGGTATTTTAATCTCTCGGGCTGTCAAAGCCACCGGGTAGCCTACGGTATGGTGTTTTGTCTTTTCCAAGTAGATGGACGACACCCCGCTGTTCGTGTTAATCGAACAAGAGAGCGTAGTCTCGTTTCCACCGTCAACAGTTAAATCGCAGCTTTCCAGCACCATCTTCAAAACGGACATTTAAGGACAAGAGCGTGTTGGAAACGAAAAGGGAAAACGCATTGCACCCCGTTTTGTGTGGTCTAAAGCTAATTATACTTGACACGTTGTCCTCATTAGAAATCTGAGAGCCCACTTCGCATTTTCAATTACGTACCCTAGGTATACAAAGCATATACCCTCTATAAGGCTACAGAGAAAGAAGAAAGCAGCAACACTTTCTTTTGTCGCGTTCGTCGTAATTCATATAAATAATTACCCGTGTCATTCTCTCCCATGACTCAAACACACATGTAATTTTCTTGCGGGCGAGCGAGCACAATGCACAGTCAGTTTTCATCGAGTTCCCACAGCGCACCGGAAAGAAAGCAGAAGGCGTCCCCCTCCGCTACAGTGACTCTCGCGGATCACATGTGCATTCTCGGTCAGCTCGGCACGTTCCTGCTCATCCGCCTACCAGAACAGCGCCGGAGCTCCGCAGACCCCGCTTAGCGCCCGGGGAAAGGGCAGGACCGCGTCCCCATCAAAGCCATCGCACCATAACCTTTTTATTTATCTTCTACTTCCCCTTTTTAGCTGTAAAACCCCGCTCACACATACACACTCTTACATGACGAACAGCTTTGCTCAAAAAGTGAAATGTCATTTCATAGTGATAAAAGGAAACTACACAACTGTTACAGCAGCTACAGAACTGGTTATCTCTGAAACCACATGAAAAAGAGAGCAAATCTTCACCAAGGCAGGGGGGGGGGAGACGGGACTTACAAGGCAGTGAGTCACGATCGTTTTAGCGTTGCGTGTTCACTCTGTCCTGATTAGGTCGTTGGTCGTGACTATTGATCGTCACCCAGTATAAACCAGGACCTAACAGCACGCATTGGAGGTATTAGAAAATAACATATCTTTAAAATAAGAGTCATAATCCTTCCAAGGTCAGATTGTTTTTTTATGACGTGACCCTGTCGGGATAAGAAAGCCGTTCATTTGGGGTACCCAAACCCTAGCAAAAAGGAAGAGGTTGCTAAGAGTTTATTGCCAGATCTCTCTAATCCTATTAGCCTCTTCGCAGTCAACATTAATCCTGGACAAATCGCTCTCCCGTCCATCTCACAGTTCAATCATCTATCTGTATCCACACATTAACTGCGTACTACGGACACGGGCGAGAAATCCTTATCCATTAAATCATACACACTGAAATAAAACGGGGCTCCGCTGTCTTTCCACACAGCGCAGTCTTTGTTACTGCAGGAGACCCAGACGGGGACCCTTTTCAGCAACCAAATCCATGATTTAAAAATCCCGAGCAAACTGCATACTTTGCAGGAATTCCTTCCCCACTGAAAAACAGGTTATTAAGTAAAATAAAGGTTTTTTTGCAAATGAGAAAGCGTCCGACGCGCTTCGTTTTTCTATTTTTTAATCATTTTAAAACAACTGCTCAAAAAACAAATGATTTGAATAGAGTTCGCTATAGCAAATGCTTTGAGCTCAAATCCAGTCACACAATCGCTTATCACTTTCACCTAAATAAAGTTCTCAGTGCAGAAGGTTCACTAGTACCGGAGCAAAGTAGAAGCCACTTTGTTTAAAAGATTTCAGAGATATGAATACAAAACAAACACCGTGTAAAGAAGAAACTTCCTCATGCTTAGAAAATCTTGTTAATCAGTAATTTGCTACACTGTACCTGTCTTTCTTAAAGGTCTAATCTGGCTCTGCTGATCATGCAAAGAAAATAATCGTTTCCTAAATAAGGCAACGGGAAAGGGGTCAATTACGTTAATTAGCTAATCAAAAAGTTTAAATACCGGAGTGTTAGGCACTTGTGTCAACCTTGTATTTGTTTGAATTATCCCTCGTGTAAAAACAAGACTAACGCGAATCACTGAATGAAGAGGTGCTGAGTAAATTCGCTGCTTAAAAAATTAATACAAAAGGACACAAAAAGAAACAAGCGCTCTGCAAGGAACAATTACAATCCATTAACTTACTAGTGGCTCCATGCGAGGTGTTTCTACCCGCTGGGACACCAGCAGCATCTTGAGGTGATAGTAAACGAGGTTTCTGTTAAATCCACTTTTGTTCCGGTATGTGAAATGCCAGGATACAAAGGAAAAGGAGAGAAAAAAAAGAAGGAATACGGCTCGCAGAAAAACAAATCACGCGGTGCGAAAAAAACGATTCTCTTCAGATTTCAGACAAGTTCATCCTGGTGTTGCAGTTTCGCCTAATGATTTAACGCCTGTCTCAATCTCCTCACAACATTAGCGGCTGCCTTCAGCTTCCTGACTTCAGAGGCGGAGTTACCTTAGCTATAGGACGGCGGCGAGCGGACACGGAGAGGAGGAGACAGCGCTCTTTCTGTAAGGGTAAACCGCTCTTAAAGGGGAATTCCGTCCCGTGCTACTCAGGCCGCACAGGTCTTCGAAGAAGTTTACTGGAACCACCGGGGAAGAGTCATTTACTGTCCTACTCCCACCAGTCAAGCAAGCAAGCAAGAAAACATCTATCCAGGGCAGACACCGTTGTAAAAATCGCCCTTTTCTGGCAAAGCATTAAAAAACTGACTAGACAGTATTTTATTGTTCTACTCACTGGCCTTCCACAGTATGCTCGCCCGTATTTCGACATTTATTTTAAAAACGCATTCACTATGGCTTAGTGAATGTTTATATTAGGATTTTTTAAAAATGAACGCATCTCACTTAGGACTGCACATACTGTATCGTGTGCAACGTACCTGAACGCACCTGAACTGAAACCAGTTCTGTTATGACAATATCAATGACGCACAGCTCTAAAAACGTCTTATACTGTACATCCAACTTTAGTACACCCAATAGTATCTTAAAGACTGGGGATGAAATTTTTAGCGTTTGTTTGCCTGACGTGATACACTACTGCATTTGTCACTAAAACAAAAGTGCAATTTATAATTCGTTCTCCCAGTAAGACAAAGGGGGATTCTTAAAAGAGATTGTACAAAAATCGTAATTCGATTACAGAAAGTCTGAAATAATGTTTTCTTGATATAGAAAGTTGGTGTCTTGTCGGTGTAATGTTTTGTTATGTAACAACACAGCTGTATCTTTCCAACTTGTCGCTTACAGTACTTGGACAGGTACACTGGACACGTCATGGAGCAATTGTACTAGAAAACTGCGAGGTGTTTAAAACGCTGTTAACGGGTTTATTAAAAACAATTGCTATTTAACTGCGATTGAGACCGATTACTGTGAATTAATTCACTTCTCAAACTATCCAAGGTTGTGCGGTTAAGTAAGTTACACCTCTATTTTGAAATGACGCCAAGATCTGAAATCCAAATTTAATCTTGGTCATCGCCATAAAGCTGAATCCACATACTAAACAGATTGTCAGGCATTGGAAGTGTCCTCTTCGAAATCGCCTGCTCTACCCAGTTGGTCATGAAAAGGAGCGGATTGTGCATGCATAGAAATTAATGCGTGTTTGTGATATTCTTTTAATACCTGTACGTTTGTCATAGCTAATATTAGGAGCAATACTTATACAGTGTCCCATTCAAAGTTGTTCTCATTTCACAATGATTATGGTGAAATTATGCAGTTAAAAATCTTCCTAAATCCTTTACATGGAACACAGCAGGGAAATATATAGAGAGCGTTGCAGTGTTTTACAATGAATTAAGTGGATCGACATGTGTAATTAAGATTTTTTTTTGTTCTGCTGTACGTTTAATGACTAGCCAATTTTTTTTTTATATTGGTTAAAAAGGCTGTGGGGAATACAGAAAAAACCTACAGAAAACGCATTGGTAGAACAAATTGCTTCATTTGTCCCCATTGAAAAAAGTGAGGTTTGCGTTAGAAATCCGCAGAGCACGAAGTGTCGAAGGAATTTAAGAAATTAGGAGCAGCGTGAACCTATATAGTCCCGGCTAAAAAAAAAGCGCGGGCACACATCTCAAGCATATTCCACCGCTTCTTTCCAAAACATTGCAGCCTTGGAGAAAAAGACCACTAGTAATTCGTCACGTCTTTTCCAACTGGACAGGTTTCATAGCTCCCGACATCCTGGAGGGCACTAGCATTCTCTGTGCATAGATTTACGTAATGATGTGGCATTAACACATTGCTTCATACATTATGCATACCTCTGCTGTCTGCTTATCAGTCTAGCCTGGACTTATAATATGTATTTTTAATGCAAAGGACCTTCAGTCTCTCAGAATGGTTGTTGTTAACCAATGTGGCAAGCTTGGCTGTAAAAAAAACAAAAGGACCTCCTGTGGAGAGAGAGAAGGACTAAAGGAAGCAGAATACACAGTTTGTGTGACCCCAGGAAGTGCTTGACAATTACTGTTAGGTCTGGAATCGTGCCATTTTTTTACCACTACTGATGGAATGCTAGTAATCTACACAAACCAACTCTTTCAAATTGGAAATGTCAACATGTTATCATTGAAAGGAAATAGCATTTTATTATCATCGAAACACCATAGGCTTAGTCTAAATCATAACAGTATCCAGAGCGTGGACATAGTTCGTTACAGATCGGCTTTTCCTAATGTTTAATGTCAGCTGATACTGTGTGACTTGAGGGTTCATTCCTACTTCACAATTCAAATCGGCTTTTCTTTCTTTTCATCCCCCGAATCAACAGTCCACTTAAAACTATTTGATCGTTTTCCCAAAAACTTGACTTCTGCACGCTAATGTAAGATGGGGACTGTGGACACAGAGGTGGTGGATACTTGCTCCTGTTGAAGGAATCAAAGTGCGTCACATAACGTGAGCCAGTGACCTCCAGCACCAATGCAACCCCTCTAATTATACAGTCATTTAGAGAAATACACATTCTCGCAAAGGAAAGAAACAGAGTGCTGAACTGTGCACATTGCGATGCAGGCTCTCCTAAGCAGATTTTCCCTTCCTTTCATGTTCACATGACTGCTGAGAGGATGCTGATGTCAAGATCATGTTGAATCATGTGTGCTACTAGCGATTGTTGAAAATTGCACCTCCACAAAGCACAGTTTTGGACAAAAATCAAATCATGTCAAACTGTTTGGAGTGGCAAGTAAGGAAGGTATTACTGCTAGGTGCAGATGAAAAGTCAAAGGACCTGTGACATAGCATCTAATCCTGAAACAATTTGATCCTTTTATCTTTGGGTCAAAGATGGCTTAATGACTTGTGCCCTTTTTGCAGGTGCAGCTTCCGTAGTTAATGGTATTTTCACTAAGTGCAATGAAGATGGCATTTTCATTTGACCCCGCAAAGCACTTTGTACTACTGCTCCAGTAACAAATGACGTCTCAAGACCTCTGTTTTCCACAATACCCTTCCCAAGCAGGGCACACAGCCCAGCTCACAGGCAGAGAGCCTGTGGATGGAGGTGGATGAAAAAACAGGACATGTGTATCCCATGCAGATCTAAGCACCCCTAAGGCCTTGATGCTATGCTTGTGAAGGTGCTGGAGATCTACTATAAAGAAGTAGCAGACAAGAGCAAAGAAGGGGGTCACTCAAACATATTTTCTGGGTGGTCTATCCTAGGGTTGTCCAGTCCTTGTCCTGGAGGGCTGGTATGTTAGAGGGTTTTCTAGGTCTCATTAATGCACCATCATCTGAAGAGCTGGTTGAAGTTGTTACATTGCTCTAATGAAGTCGGTAATGTGCTGATTTGGGTCATCTAGAGCTCAATTTGAATGAGAACCTGCAGACATACCAGCTATTCCAGGACTAGAACTGAACTCCCCTAATCTAGCCAGCTGGGGATGATTCCTCACAATTCAGAATTCTGTTTTCACCACTGAATGTGTATTCTTTTTATTGTTAGGACAGCAGAAACATCAAAACACATCAATCAGATTTTCAGTATTCTGAAACGTGCAGACAGATGAGATTAATACTGTGATGCAGAATTGATCAGATTCGATGAGTCCCTGTTCTGGGAGATGGAACAGTAGTAGGCTAGTGTTTCAGTCTGGCAGGGCATAATGTGTCATCTGTCGTACTCTGTTCATTATCTTCTCAGACAGTCAGCTAACAGGCGCCTTCTGTGCTTGAACATTTACAAAGTGCTCGCAAGACACCAGGTGACACCTGGCCTTAAGTCAAATATTAAACTTTGCTGAATGCACTTTCTACCTGGTAATACATTGAATGTGTCCTGCAAAAACAAACAGCATCCTTACTGGAAATCTTTCTCTCCAGAATCATTCTATTCTTAAACTCTGTAATGTGGGAAAACATATACTGTACATTAATGAGAGGCTTCGTAGATTTATCACAGGTAATGCCGGCTATGTGAGCTTCAGTACTCTGGATCGAAATGAAATATATCTCTGGGAGGCCCCATTCCTGTATTAAAACAGTATTCGGCCTGTCAGAGGTAAGTTCCTGGTGCTTCAGTCACCTGCAGTTAAAGGTTGAATTTCATTCCCCGAAGGCTGTAGCTGAGCTGCCTCTGGAACCCCTGAAACTGTATGGTTCAGAAAAGGAAAACAGCAAGGAAAACTCATATTCAAAAATATTAAACACAGAAACCAAAAGCAGAAGAAGGAAGATGGGGAGTGATTGAACCAGTACAGGGCTCTTGTTCAGATATTGAGCCCTGAAGTCCTGATATTGCCGGTTTGAGTGGACACTCTGTTGTAGGTGACTGGGTATCCCCATACAGGTGTGCACATCTGTCAGATTGCCCTTCAGGGTCTGTAATGCTTGAATCTGGCATAGTATCGTAAGCAAGGCTCATACTGGTATCCCATGTTATTCTTGTGTGTATATGCAAATATATTAAGCATGTGTTGACAGCTTTGGGAGTGGGAGCTGCACGATGGTTCCAGCTTATGGCCGCTGTGCTGCGAGCAAAGTGGGATTGTAAGTGTGAACAATAGTGTGTGGTTAGCATAACGGTTGTAAGTGCAGTAGCGGATATAAAAATTGGTCCTTCAAAACGTGGGTGTGTGCAGGTGGGACTAGAAAAGGAAAAAAAAACTAAATCTGGATTTATTTTGTAAATTAAGAAACCTGAATGTGCAGTTGCTGTCCAGTTCAATTTCCCCTGTTTGACTTTGGGAGAGACGGGGACTGTGACTTCTGCTCTTTCTCTTATAGCCCAGTTTTCAATCGCAGGAGAATTGTTTCCTAAATTACACCACCAGAAGAAGCACAGACCAAATATCGTTTGCATATTTACAACATTAACGAACACATCAAAAGTATCTAAATTAATTCAGCTGAATGTTAATGATTTGCCCTACTATACTAGATCTTGATAAAGCACGATATGGTGTGCCATCTGCTGACATATTGCAACAAGTAAGCCAGAAAATAGCTAATGGAGAGAAATAAACTATGCAATGCAATCAGCCTCATATTGCTACTTGTGATTTGAATAGAGAACCAGGTTCTTTAATCTGGGTAGCCTTTGTCAAGGTTGGATAACAGGGAAAATACAGTTCACCAAGAGCTTGTTTAATTCTGTGCCTCGACTTTTAGTTTGGCTGTTTGCCAGCTGCATTTGATCACGGTGTGCGTCCACTAATTAAATCTGAATCTGCATTAACTAACAGGGGAGGGGCTGGAATGGTGATGGGCTTCCAATGAAATGGAAA